CAACTGGCATGTCTTCAGAGGTTTCTTCAGACGGCATCAAGGGGTCTGACATATCTTCCAAAGGGACACACTTTTCTGAACTGGGCAGAGCTTACCATAGTATGGTTGGAAATGGAGTGAACTTCCAAGGATCGTTGCAAGCTTTTATGGACAACTTTGTCCTCAGTTCCTTGAAGAAAGAAAAAGAAATGAAGGATAAAGTCCTGTCTGATTGCATTTCCACAAAGCCTCTGGCTTTAGAGAGTGGTGAGGAGAAATCATCTAATAAGCAGAGAAAAACAGAAAAATCACAGTATGAGCCTCTTGACCTCTCTGTGAGACCAGATGCAGCCAGTCTTCCAGGTTCATCCGTTACAGTCCAAGACAATATTGCTTGGCATGGCTGCTTGTTTTGTTCATTCACGACATCATCTATGGAACTAATGGCTCTTCATCTCCAAGCCAATCATTTAGGCAAGGCAAAGCGTAAAGACAGTGTTTTAGGATCAACTAGAAATGGTAAAGACCCCCCCAGGGAGGCCATTGCTTCAGCAAATAAAGCCAGCTTGCTGCTGACTTCCATACAGTCCAACAAAGATGTAGCTACTTCCAATTTGATTGGCCAGATAGACCCGGCTTCTGAAAGAATGAACCAAGGATCCAAGGACTCTCCAGGAGAACAGAGGAACACCCCTTGGCCTGGTCACATGGATTCCACTTTTTATAATTTTGCAGCAGACTTCTACAAGCAATTTGGCGTTTATTCCGGAGTTGTCGGAGCACAAAATGCTTGCACCGGTAACGAACCTGACATAAAAACACAAAGTGAAGATGACCCAAGCATGCTGCTTTCTGACTCTGTAAATAAAAGTGCTACTGACGACCTGTCAGACATAGCTTCCTCTGAAGACATGGAGTCCTCCAAGGAAGAAACCATTGATGATGAGGACATTGAAACAGAACCTGATCTTACGAACAAACCATTGTCCAACCTGAGCAAAGATGGTGCCGATAGAGGGGACAACGTACAAGGCTCTGTTGCCTCAAAAGGACTCATGCCGCCATTGCCACCTTCCGAAAAGCAGTGGCACAGTCAGAATCTCCTCGCCTCCCATGAAGCTACACCAGGTGCCATGAAGCCTGAACCAGCTCAGAGCCCACAGGTCCTGGAGAAGCAAGTCAACATGTTGTCGGTCCTAAGAGCCTACAGCTCTGATGGCTTAGCAGCCTTTAATGGACTTGCAAGTAGCACAGGAAGTAGTGGATGTATCAAGAGACCTGACTTGTGTGGTAAGTTTTAGAATCCTTATTTCAGACCATTTCAGAGAAAAACAACAACCCACAAAATTACTGAGTATGTCAAACTGTGCTTGTCAGTAAATTTGGCTTTAAGATGATGTTTTAAAACCTTGGGACAAAATTCTACTTTGTTTCAAAGCATGGACCTCCATTGAAATTAGTGGTGCTTCATGCAGCAGTACGTGGCCTTTATACGTGGTCCAGGCCATTAAAAAAAATACATTGTGTAGTTTTTAATTAGATAAGTAGTTATATAAGACATTTGTATTTATGATATGTGACCAGAACATCTGCTGCTTCATTTTGATCAATCTGGTTTTATTTTATTTTTTAAACTGACGTGGTAACTTGCAACTTTTCAGCATTTGAACTGAGAAAAAAAAGTAAAAACACTAAATGCTTTGCCAAGCCTAAGCCTAGTTTGCTTTCCAAAAAAATTATTTCCTTATGTTGAATAAGGACATATTGAATATGCTCAATGAAATATAAATAAAAAAATCTGGGTGGGTTATTCCAATTTGTAGTTATATTTTTATAGAGAAATCCCAAAATTTATTAATCAGACAGTGAGGATTATATCCAATGTTAGTAAAACTCAGAGTTGACCTGCTGAGATTAGTAGACCTGCTTTAGCCCTGCTCATTAATTTCAGTGGATCTACTCTTTGTAGAACTTAGTTGGGTTCAATCCTAATATTTTATTATTTTCAAAAGCTAGGCAATTTACTGTTTCAATTCCCTTACACAATTTCCTTATGGTAAACAACACAACATCAATTACCTAATTAATAAGACAGTTGTGTATGTATGAAAAACAAACAAACATGCTGTTGTCCTTGAGCAGGTGCATATAATCACTTTATCCCTATGCACAATTATTTTTGGAGTCACCAACTGGCTGGTTACATTGTCTAGGTCAACTTATCTAATCATTAGGTTATCTAGAATGTAAAGAGTTTGAACTTGCTTACTGCCTTGATGGTTTCAGCAAAGTCTATTTTTATTGCTTGTCCAAAGTGGGGTGCTTAGGAAGTCTGTGTCATATTATTGCCACCACATAGTGACACCAACATTCCTCATGTGTGGAGAGAGAGAGAGAGAAACTGGGTCCTTTTCCTTTTCTATATGATCCACAACCATGCAAGCCTCAAATACCAAAACTTCTAGTGTGTAGGAAAACCCAGAGGTTTATGCAGCTTTCGGTGCAAATAGATTTAAACAAAACAAAAATACCCTTTAATGAACAGAAAGGGTCTGTACAAATTCATCTTTTAATATGATCTCTGTAGTTTTAAAGCACAGAAAGAGCTGCAACAAAAATCCTAAGCAGACCATTTAAAAATAAATAAATTTATATACTGCAGTGGTGATAAGAAATAGAAAAGAAATGTAAAAGCTCGCTTAACTAGCTGAACATCCTGCCCCACTAGATGGTACTGGCACCCTGATCCTACAATTCCAGCTGTACAATGTGCACATTTGCAAACATGGGCTTGTCATATTCACACTTTCCATTTCTGGATGTGCCCTTAAGAGGTTGCAATGCATGGAGTGTTCCTAGGACTTTCTGCGCCAGCTTTGAAATTTTCAGAATGGAGGTATACCATTGCTGGTCTGGCACGTTGTCACAAACCAAGATAGAACACCTCCACTGCAGGCTGATGTAAGTGCGTTGCAGGGGGCTGGACTAGATGACTCTAGGGACCCCATCCAACTCTACAATTCTGTAGTTCAAAGTGCTCAGGAAGAGTGGAGTGCAGAGGCACAAAAGCACACAGCCTAAATTCAGCTTATTAACTCAGAGAGGTAACATACACAGTAAGCAGTTTAGAAATAGCATCCAGCAAGCTGGGTGGGGGGGTGGGGGGTTGCAATGCCATACCTCTAAACTTTGCCTTTTGCAAATCAAGGCCACCCACGCTGCTTGGCTCAGAAATATGCTGGGCTGTTTATTTTTAAAATGTGGAATCACAGATTTACTAAATTGGAGCTTATTACACTAAGACAGAGGTCTCTTGGGCGGAAGTAAAAAACAATGAATTAAAGTAGTTGTTGGGAGACCATAGATTTAGAGGCTCCACCTTATTTTCTACTACTCTAGGTGTAGGTATGGGGTGGGGTCTAAAGCCCAGGTGCTGGAGTGGAGTGGGATGGAGAAGACCTCAGCATTCATATTGCCATCTCAAGGGCATTCACAAATCCACGTACAAGGACTGTTGCGGATCTAAACAAATGTCCGGCTGCTGGACATTTAAAATTGTCCAACAAATTCAGGATACTGGATCTCAAATAAGTGGAGTTGCAGTCCATTAGGAAGATTACATGCATGCCTTGAACTTTTAATATGCAGACATGGCTGCAGGGCGGCTTTGAATGGAGAAGTGTGCCATTCTGAGCTCAGTACCCATAACTATGCGGTGCAAAGAATGTTTTCCAAGTTGTCAAAAAAAGAAAGAACTATGGGATTTCTGACAGTTTGAAAAATATTGACAGCTGTTAATGTTATGCAAATTGAAAGTCCCACATTCCCTCCTTTTAATAGCTGTTCAGCCTCGTGATTATGAAAAGGAGGCTGTCCAAAAAATCTAAAATTTAAAGTTTCCCAGTGTGAGATTGTGATCAAAGTTTCACAACCTTACTTTCTATTTAAGTGTTATATTCACTTATTATAAACCACATTATCATTGTCATCATCATCACTTTTGAAAACAAATCTGTTTTATTTTTTTAATTTCCCATCCTTCTAATGATTCAAAATTAATTTCATGAGTTGCTGAGTACACGAAAGTTTCACAAGCTGTGCCTTTTAACTGAGATAGAGCATCAGAGCTACGAGGTTGACCTGCAATAAGTTTGATTATTTTTATATGTGGAATTGCAGTTCAAATCCTCTTTCCCACACCTCCAGATTTTATTTTATTTTAAGTTTGGGCTGATATCTTTACTAGCCATTTCCACAGAAGTCTTCGTAGTTGCAGACTATGAAGTTGTAGTAGCCTTGCAGGAGTATTCTTCAGTATTCTTAAGAGTTCTGCCAGTTTGTGATCCCAGAGACTGAAAATAAATTAATGAATATGAAACACAGATCATTGCTACTGAGTTTTTTGCTGTTCCTCAGACTAAGGAATTTTTGTGAGCTGCTATCAGAGCAAATGTGAGCCCGTTGGCCTGCTCTGAAAGAAGTGAATTGGTGGCATAGTCAACGCATTCCAAGACGCATCCCTTGTGCTTGGTTGCATTTGTTGCTCGTAAGTCATGTTTCCTCAGTGAACGGCTGTAGAGAGCAGTCATAATGGATGACTGTTCAACTAGTAGTAACAAATCATGTTACCCAGTTGACCACTTGAGTTATCATGCATAATGTAGGCATCCTGGGAGATGGGTTGGGTGTAAGGCTGAACTTAGTGGAATGATTGTTGTTGCTTCACTTGGAGGGTTGAACTTAGAGAGCTTTAGACTAGCTTTGCTTGAAAGCTACTTGCTGAATGGCGTTTTAATGGAAATATACTAACATCTCTCAACCCAAACAGTGTTACTGTCCCCTTTTTTTTTCAGCCCAATTCAAGCAGGTTCTTGGCTGCTTTGAGCTAGTGAAATAGCACTTCAGTCCCAACTGTGTTGTCTTTTGGCTAACCCAGGTCCACCTATCATCAGAATGGGGCACTTGGGACCTCTTATGTGTTATAGTTTAGAAAATATACTGTGTGTACCCATCATGTTCCTGTAATACATGGGAGGGGTACATATTTATTTCGCCCCTCTATCTATATGCTGCAAGAAGTTGAATGGGTCCAGTCTCTCTGCCACACACATTGGAAATGTACATACGGTGAAAAGAATGTGAGTTTCTATTGCATATTATGGAGTACATGGTGGGTATGCATAGTGCTTCTTTTCATTGTGTAATGATTAAGTAACCCAGATTAGCTTTGCTTCTGCTTAAATGTATGAGTGTGCCTGACATTGCACAAATAGATGGATACAGTCTGTGCACCTAATGATGGTCATTCTTTAGTTTAGTTTAGATAACAACTAACTGGAGACATTTGCCATTTATAGGTTTTTTAAAAATAATATCTCCTGACGTTTTGCATTATCCCATTGCCATTATGAGTTTTAAAATGTGACTGATTCACTTGCTCTGATAGTGAGACAGTCAGCAGGAATGTTCTACCCATATTGATCTCAACATCTGCTCTCCCCACTTGAAATAGGCTCTGTCATCTCAGTCAAACCTTCCCCAATCCTAGCTCAGAAAACTGTAGTTTGTAGACCAAGACAATCATTCACTCGGCTGCTTTGGTGCCCATGTTTAATGGGTATGCATCTGGAGACCCAAATATTCCCATGCATTCACTTGCATAACGGACATGAGCAATGTTCTAGGATAAAGATCATGAATGACGGCATATTTTTCTTGTGTGTTTCAGCAAACTGGCTATTACAAAGTAATATGTTACTTTGTAAATAAGTAATTGATCCAGACTTGGCTACACACACACAAAACAAACACAAACAAACAAACAAACAAACAAACAAACAAACAAACATGTTTGATTTGCTTAACCTAGCAATATGGACCAGATTTTGACTTAGATATATATAACTGTTAAATCACTGAAGCAATCCAGTTTTATATCTCTAGAGCATTTATGTAAGAGCAATATAGGGCAAAATTGAAACTTTATGGTGAGCTGAGGGTTAGATCACTCTGTCAGCCACCATGATGACCATCTTGTCCCCTACTGTTTTTCATTGTTGCAAAACTGAGTTTAAGGGACCTTTGATGAGCTAACCAGTGGACAATTAATGCTTTTTAAAAGGTGTGTGTGTGTCCCCTGCTTTTTAAGAATTAGTTCTTCATACCACTACCTTCTGTTTACTCAGAAGTAAGTCCCATTGAATTTAGTGGTTCTTACTCCCTTGTAAACATGGGATTTGACTCCTAATCAGTTTAATACTGAAACTTTGTTCAGTGCTTTTTCCTCTCCACTCAAGACAACATTTATGGTGAGGACCACTGAGATGCTTCCCATTAATATAAGCGTATTAATGTGATATAATGAAACTCCATTCTGTTGCTTAGAACATCCTTCTTAACATAGTCCACATGAATGTAATGTGAAATTAGGTGGGAGGTGGCGCAACCACATGATACCCATAACATTTTCTATTGGATAAGTTTTGTACTGTTTCCTTTTTGTCATGTGACTTGATCTTAACTTCCAGTCACTCACACCTTGGTCCATATTTAGTCATTTTTGCTTGGTGATCCTGTCATAGTTGTGGTATTCTACTTTAATATCAGATTTTCATCTTTCTTGCCCATACCAGTATGTTGGTATCAACCAGCCTTAATTAGATGTTATGCAGCTAAATTAACAAATGCTTATAAAGCACCTTGCAAAGGTCCTGAAGAAATGAGGGCTACACAAATACGGAATGTTGCTTCATGTCCAGCATTATATCTTTACCAGAAGCCTTCTTTGTGGTTGGCAGTTATATTTAATCTCCCTTTAACCGATGTTAGAAATAAAATGAGGATATAAAAACAGTCCCTGTCACTATTATCTCTGAAAGTCTTTGACCTTCTCTAACATACCTGGCTGCAATCATATACGCATTTACCTGTGGTACTCTGTGGTACTTACTTCTGAGTAGGCCTGTATAGGATTGCACTTTAATATGTTATTTTAAATAGGGGACTGTTGTGTTGCTGCTGAATATGCACATCATTGTAATAACATGGATCTTATTAGAGCAACCCCAGGGTCTGTACTTGTTGAGCTGCCCCATGAGAAACGTATGAATTAGATCTATGAATTATAATATTCAGAATTTGCTGCTTTTTTGCTTTTGCTAAAAGCTCTGATCTACTTTGTTCCATGTAGAGTTTCTTCTGTTTCTGAAACCATATTTTGGCTCTTAGAAACAACTTGGTACCATGTTGAATGGAATGAGGTGTCTTTGTGAACACATCTTCCACCACTAACAGATTGTATAATAGTCTGTTTTATGGTAGTGCCTTCAAATCTCAGGGCAAATTCACAAGGCTATGCTTATCTTGTGATAACAGCAGTGATTATGACAGCTTGCTTGTTTGGACGGATATCACAGCTCAGCTCTCCTGGACAGGACTTCTTTATCACATGAACAAAGTGCATTTAACTGAAAGGAAGCATTATCAAGCAATAATCACTTAACTGCTACCACTTCAATTAAGGGTATGACTTTGCATGCAGAATTCAGTAGAATTGAGGACATGCTTCAGTCTAAATAGTCTCTTTTTATGGGCCTAATCTCATGATCTTCTGGGCATGGTCTTCAATAGTCACTCTGTCTGTCTGTGTATCTCTCTCATACACACAAACCCTCCCCTGTGTTGACTCCATGTGAATCCTGCATCATATGAAGGATTTGCTTTTGGCATGTTACTTACAATCAAATTGTGGGGTATTCAGCAGTACATGAAAAGTGGAATATTATGCAACAGATGCACATGACAGGCTCATCATGGGTTGAACCATTTGAGAGCCATTGTGGTTCTTCCTGAGACTATTCTGCACAAATAAGGTAATTAAGTAGTATCATGGTCTACCCATATCACTCAATTCTCTTTCACTCATCTTTCCAAAATCTAATCTTTCTTTTGCATTTGGTCAAAGTCTAGCTGAAGCAATATGTTTGGTTGATTTGTCTTTTTGCATCGCTTCCTCATATTGCTAAATTTTTATTAAATGTCATTTCACTGAATCCCAAGGTTCCAAAAAACTGACCTTGTGTGCAAAGGCATTAAAGGTGTATTTTCCACTTTAAATGTAAGCCACCACAGGAATTAGCAAAGGATTGTGCAGCAGGAGCGTCATTTACATTTTAGTGTTTGTGTATGTTTCAGTTGGGAGAGGGCAAAATTTAGCAAAACCCAAGAAGTCTCTCTTATGGATAAATTCAGGGATCAGGGTTAAATTGTAAAAAGTCTGTGTATTATAGAATCATTTGTCATGGTTCTTCTTTCTTTCCTTTTTTTAAAGAAACTGCAATAGCTGTAGCATTATCAATGCAGGACAAGCCCCACTCCTCCACTTTTATTCAGCAAAAGAATCTCTGCCTTCTGCGTGCATACCTACCATGCAGGAACATTTAATTGTATCATAGAATAGTCAATCTTGGTATGCAGTATTAAGTAAACTGCCTAGATGAAAGATCCCCCTGAGTATGCTCTAAAACCTCTCTCACACACCCTTCTCCACCTTTCCTAAATAGCACCCTTTCATTTGCAGAACTCTCTGGGATCTGAGGAGACATTCAGATCATGCCATTTTCTTTTCTGCCATTATTGTGGTAGAAGTTCTTTTGTCCCTAATGAAGTTACTCCTCGTGTTTGTCTGTGTTAACTGGGATCAGAACCTGGCCCTGAGTCTTTGGGCTTCAGCTGCTGTTGTGGATAATGCATTGCTATTTGCGTGGCAATATCCAACCAAACTCATATGGCTTTCTTCCTTTTTTAATTAAGTCGAATGCCAGCAGCCCAATGAAGTTTGCACTCCTGGATAAAAGGGCTGGTCTGTGCCTAGCATTGTATTTGCCAAATGGTTCGCTAGTCATTTCAGTACAAACAAATGGATGGTGTCAGTAAGTCTGCAAACACTGTTGACATTTAGCCTTGTTTATGTTACTTTCCTTTTGCTGCACATTTTTGGCTCAAAAAGCTACTGTCGGAATCAACAGTGACTTCCTAAGCAGAAGCTAAGGGCCCAGCCTCTTCTAAGCCTCACCCCTGGGACCACTTGCATTATTAAGTGTGGAGGCTTTGACTTGGGGAACTTATGCTCAATATGTCATTTGGCTATCTAGAATTACAATAAAATTAGTCTCCAAATTTGTAGAAAAACAGAGACCAAGACAATATATATATACATTGTTTGTTATTTCTAGTTCTGTTTTGTTTTTTTCCAACTCTGAACTAAAGCTGTGGGAGGGTGACTGGAAAAGCAAGCCGTTGTATTGCGGCTTCTAAGGATGCATATTCTGAATCACTTAATGCAGATTAGGCTCCCTTGAACTTTCACCACCCTCTTGCCATTTAGAATCAGGGTGCTGAAGAGCAATGAAAAGCTGATTCTCCTCACACTTTCCATGGTGAGCTTACTCTTGCCTTTTCGTTTTAGTGATTATAAGTACACAAATATGGATAATAATTATTCCAGATTAATTAAGCAGGAGGCATGAACTTGTGTGCAAGTGACAAAGCTCTTCCGTTAGGCCATAGATCACAGAGAAGTAATTCTGGCTCTTTCTATCCCTGGCACCTGCTGGTTCTGCCAGTTCTAGAAATCCTCCTGATACTACTTGCCTCTGGGGCCTGTCCAACACCGACTTAGATTTCACTGGGCTGAATTGTATCTGGCTGTGTGGCATTGTGTCCAACATCTTCAGCAAATTAAGAAAATGAACCATAGTGACTGGGTTTAATTTAAATAAATACCATGATGTTTAAAGAGAGGTAGGAAAGAGAAAGTTAAAGCAGGCAAGATAGGTGCAAGGTGCACCCTGACACTTTTCTTATTTTTATGGTTTTGGAATGTGACATGGCTGGCGTGTTCCTTGTTGCTTTCTTAATACGTTCCACGTTCTATCTTCAAGTGTCTTCAAAATGAAGGACATCTGGCAATTATAATTCAAGTGTATTTAAAATTCAGAAACCTACAGCCTGGACTTTGGTCTGCTCTGCTGTCCTCTAATATACCTACAAGTATTTGCCATGTACTCAAACCATGGTTTCAGTCTCACTTAGCGTACAAAACTACCATAACATAAATGGGTAGACTGTAATCTGGCACAGTTACTTGTGTAGAATTCCCATTGACATCAGTAGGACTTGCACATAAGAGAGTGCAGAACTGCAGCCACGAACCAGTCCTGTGCTGTTGTTTTTAGTCATAATTTTGCACCTTAAAAAAGAAAGATATACACAAATAAGAACAATTTTTGTCTTTCACATATCAGTATTTTGGATATTCTTTTATTATTGTAAAAAAAAAGTGTAATCTTGTTGAATTTCTGAATCTGCTGCTTTTCTGCTCATGTTCCTAGATAATTATATCACTGGGGGTAAATGTAATTACCTGTTGCTCTGTTAACTCTTTAAAGCAAAGAGGAATTTCTATATATTTGTCAAAGTGTAGGAATCGATATGTGTGTTCACTATAATCTGTTTATCGCAGCAATACAAAAATCAAAGGCTTTGTAATATGTTTTGTTATGTAGGCATATGAGTCTAGAGAATGGACTGCCTTCGAAGTGGAAACTTCCTTTTAAAAAGATTACTTAATTGTCATTTCTACTTGAGTTTTAAATAGTTTCAAATTTTGTAATACTTTAGGAGGGGAAGAATTACTGTAGTTATCTTTTTTCATATTCTTTTGAGAAATGCTTCCAGTTTAATATGTTGTACCAGTTTTCCTCTTCTTCAATATTAACCAAGAAATGACAGTGAAATTCAATGAACAACACTCTTGACAGCCACAGTTTTAAAAAAACCTGTGATTGAAGTGAAATGTGTAAACTTCTGCTGGGTTATCATGTGCTTTGAAATAGAGTATTGTTGGAAGTAATTAGAAAATATATTAAGGTTTCCTGGTAATGAAGGCATGTAAGTTTTAATAATTGTTGCTTTCTGAATAAGTGTCACACTTTATCTTTAAATGTATATGGAGTTCCAAGTTAGGTCATTTCTGAATGGAATGTAAAACAATACTAAAAACAATGCTTCAATAACTTATCTTGGTGTTGCTAATAAAATTAAAAAGCTGTTAACCATTAGTATAGTTTGGAGTCATTTTGTTAATTCACTCAACAACAGAACTGCCAGGAAGCTGCTCTGTCAGCTGGAGGGGAAGGATCCATCTTGAGGTGTTTTACAGGGAAACTGGGTAGTGCAACTGGTTGGGATTTCATTTCTTCTTTCTTTCTTTCTTTCTTTCTTTCTTTCTTTCTTTCTTTCTTTCTTTTAATTCCTTGAATGAAAAGACGAATTTGTTCAAGTGAAAAGCCACCAGTGCATCTTTTGTTCATCTACGATATAACAGTTGGTTAGCTGAAGAGGAACATATTGAAGTGTATCATAGAGATGTGCATCTTTTTTAACTGATGTAAATCAAAGATAACACAGCTGGATTTAGGGTTCCCATGCCACACACCAAAAACCCACCTTATGCCAGATGAAGTGGGAGTTGCCTGAGCATTGGCTTCTTACACTTGTTCATCTCCAGGTTCTCCCCATTGCCCTTCCTTCTGTGGGGCACACGTGAAGCCTTATTTGCTACAGCTGCTGGTGAAGAGGAAGAAGTTCAAAGGCAAGATGAACTACATATTCCTCATTTCATTCTCCACAGGCAATTTTAAGGGCATCCTATGAATCTCTAGGTTGCTACCTGGCAGCTCTAATAGAGGACCTAATAGAGCTGCCTTATGTGAGCCAGACCAATTGCTCATCTAGACCAATATTGCCTATACTGGGCTTCTCTAACCTGGTGCCCTTCAAGAGACTACAGCCTCCATCAGCTCCAGCCAACATAGCCAACAACCAGGGATGATGAAAGACGTGAGTTCTCCAGCATCTAGCACACCAGATTGAGGAAGGCTGACCAGTACTGACAGACAGTGGTTATCCAGAAAGAGTATTTCCTAGGCCTGATCCCAACTGGAGACTTTTTCTCAATTGCTTGTATACCAAACAGATCATCCCTCCATCCAGTCCCTCTCACTAATATATAATTTAATGTTGTCACTTTTGAATAACATATTGGTAGTTTTTTGTTTATGCCTTCCAAACACCATGAGTCAGGACCTGACATTTGAGTGTTCTGTGTCATACTGAGAAAAATCTGTAGTTCACCAGTAGAACAATTATATTATTTTGGAATGCTTGGAAATAATACAGCATTTGTGAGATAACTGTAACATTTATCCAGACTCACTGTGAGATTGTTCTCTCTCTTTGTTTCCCTCTCTGACGGCACTTCCCCTCACTAGGAACTCTTTAAAACACACACACACAACCCAACAGACACTTTCAAAGTCAGAAGAAAGTTACAACTTTAAATAGTTATCCAGGCTGGAAGAATTATAGCCTCATATGTATACTTTTTGCACTCATATAGGAGAACACTCTCTGTATCCCATGGGAATAACAGTGGTGAGATGATGTCCCAACAGGACAAAAGGACATTTGTGTGAGCAGCATAATTTGAGGTCTCCACTATCACATCTGACTCTGTAATGCTACAGCTGAAGCCTCATCACTAGTTTTGAAGGCTATGCCACCATTGTATAAGGACCTTGTTTTGCAATATGTAACAGACACTGCAGTTATTGTTCGGGCCTTCTTAAGGTATAAATGCTTTGTGGCTAGAGGCAGGGCCATTGGTTTTAGTGAATGGCTGTTTAATGCAGACTTGTTTAAAAACACACACAAAGTGAACAACTTGCAGAACAATAGTGCTTCTCAGGTGGCAGACACCTCCACCCTTCAAAATTTTCACTTCTCCAAATTTTGCGATACATTTCTTCAACCCATTAAAGTGTACAGAAATGCATATACTAGAGCAAAATGTGTATGAAATGCACATATCCATGAAAATCACATGCAAAAATGCATTAGGAAAATTATGTTGCAAAAATGCATACATTAGGCAAAATTGCATGCAAAAATGCGCATATTAGGGTAAATTTGCTGATAAATTTTCATGGGCATTTGTAAAATTATTTTGCATACTCATATGGAAATGTGGAAAACTGAGCTTAATAATTAAAAAATTAGAACCCGAGATAACTTGAAACTCACAGATTCACCTATCCCTAGCAAACATAGACATTGATTCTGTTCACCCGACACTGCCGCTGTGTCACTGGAACTCACAATATGAGTTGGCAATGAACATCCTAAACTAGGCTGCTTAAAATGCTTGCAGTAGGACAGCACAGTTAGGTCTGTAAACCCAAGGATGCCTTGAGCGTAGATTGCTTGTCATGCAGACCCCTTACTACAAGGTAAAAATTGCTTTTGGAATTGGACACTGGAGATTCCAGAACAGTTTGTGATGTGGTGTGATGAGAGTACCTGCTGTTCAAGGCATATAAACAAATGTAAATCCCCCTTTGCACACACAAACCCTTTGGCACATCTCAAAGAACCACAGCCTAGTTGCATATTGGAGTCCATCAGTTCAGTTCAGAGGATGTGACTTGTGTACCACAGCTTTCTTACATTAGAGGCTTCCACAAGGCATTCCATCATGATTTCAAAGTCCACAATAGAATAAGTGTCTTATTTTTATTGGGTAGTATTGTTCAGAAATAAACACTTTTGATCTTATGGATCTTTGGAGTTCTGGGAAAATGCATAATAATAAATACAGAGAATCTAGCAACTTTGATGTAGCATAAGCTCTAATGTGTGATCCAGAATCTTGATGGAACACCCTAACCCAACTTGGTTATATCTGGAGTTCATTCAGTTTGGAATTAAACACACTTCCTGTTTACCAACTCTCTCACCATCATGGAGTGCTTCATGAGTTCAGTCCTGTCAGGTCTCCAAGATGTTGAGCCCAGACCTATGGATGTATATTCAGAAGCAAATCCCACTAAATTCAATAAGATTGACTCCCAACTTAATGTGCCCGCAATAGAAATCTTGGTTTATTTCCATGGTCTCCATGGACTTCCCTTTCCATGAAGGTTTTTGCTCTATTTGATACTTCCATTTATATATCTTGATTATTCCTGCTTCCTAAAACAATGTGGTTCATTGGCTCAGATTTCCACAAGCTTTGCAATTAAATAAAATTCTGCATTAGCCAGGACAACATAACAGCATGTTCTGAGCATTACAAAAAAACAACAACCAAATTTGGTTACAAATTCAAATATTTAAGGCACTTCAGAAGAAACAGCAACCTAATTGGAATATTTTTGGAACTTCAGACATATATGATACATTGACCAGGAGGGAATTACAAACACTTTAACAACCCGTGAACACAAGATTTCTGTTACAACTGCTGACCTTTGGATTCAGCAGACTTGTGAACTTTAAATCTCGGCTATGTCTTGTAAAAGTTGAAAGATCAGGGAAGTAGGGAGGGATTGTACTGGGGAAAATGCTGAATCACTCCTGATGAAAGGTGGTATCTGATGCTAGTCCTACTCAGAGTAGACCCATTGAAAATAATGGGCATGGCTAAGAAACAATATCCTCAGTGGGTCTAATCTCAGTAGAATTTAGTTGGCTACAATGCAAACTGTTCATCCTCATGATCATTTTTCCCCATGTGAAATGACTTGCCATCCTAAAGACTACCTTGTGACACATCTACTTTCTTATCTATGCACTGAATTAGGAATATAACTTGCTGTCAGTTTTAAGCTCTTAGGAACGCCCCCCCCCAAGAAATGGACAGATTGCATCCTTTTCCCTTGTGACCTTTGGCACTTTAGCAAATTATAGGCATATGATTTTCCCATGATACCACTGACTTATATTATATAAGCCACATATGAGATCCAATATTTGAAACGACAACCCTTTTTTCTGGGCCAGGCACGTTCTCTGTGGGTTGGACTACTGCGATCCATTGTCAATGAACACACCACCCATTCATAACTGGTTTACTTGATGTTGGGACCCCATTCATTTCAGTTAATCTTAAGCAGGATGGTCTGGCTGCAGTGCAAGTTTTGAGTGATGTCAATGGGAGCGATGGGTTCATTTTAGGATATAGCATTATCTTGCTTATAGTGGCCTGGAGATGGAGTCATAGCTGTTTATTGCAACAACAGCACGTTAAGATTTTTACTTATTGATCTGCTAATATATATCCTCCATATATTGCCATCCATGTGCATAGCCTTAAAAGAAGATAGTCGCTGTGCCAAGTAAATTACAATATAAGAATTCGGCACAGATGAAGAGGAGGCAGGGATAAATAGAAGAATGTGCTTCATTTCTATTACACCTACCTAGGTTTGGTGTACCTAGTGTTGATCGACTATTTTTTGTTACACTGTGACCTCAAAGTGGTTTGCAGCATGCAGATAACATATCACTTAAAATTAATTGTCAAAAACCAGTTAAAATACAAGAAAGTTCACTGGATACACTGAACAAGTAGCTTTACAGTACAAACAATCTTAAACCCCAGAACAACATGAATGATTCCTGCAAAAGTTTGGAAGAACAAATAGCCATGGGAACAAAGGGGTTGTGCAAAGACTTTAAGGATAGGTTTGAAAGAGAGAAGGCATCACACAGGTGTACTTGGAAACAACTCAAGACAGGAGCATCAACCGGTCCATTATATTGAATGAGACACTGTCCCACCAACCTCAATCTGCCCAAAGCTAGCCCCCACTCAAGATCCTTATTGTAACCAATTCAAGGGGTGGCATGGCCTATTAGACTTCTCCTTAGTCTCAGTGTTTCCCGTGTGGAACTCATTAAGGAGGAGAATGTAGACAAAACTAGAATTAGTTGACTCTGCCCATCAATGGTCTGGTGCCCCCTACAGTTGACCTTCTGTTTCACACTCTGTCAGTCTCAGTGGACACCAGCCACCACTGGAAAGGATGGAGACACTGTGATTTTCTTGAAAGTCAATGGATTTCAATGAGAGATCGGATGAACCTAAGTAGCAGGTGATAGGCCAGCTCAAATTACAGCAAGCTTACTCTCTTGTAGTAGTCTTCAGATAACCTCTGTGGGTGGCAGACAATCACAACACAGAGAGAGGAGACTTAAAACTATCCTGACCCAAACATAGTAAGATAGGAGGCAGGAAGGCTTTATGACTCCTAAATGATGGAAACATCTAGGCAGAACTCGTTTGGGAATTGCTGCTTTTAGAGCTTTCACACCTGACCTAGGTATGAGCTTCTTTGAAAGTTTGAGAAATCATCCTTTTTTTAAGCAGTTATGGTATGGTACAGCAGTTATTCTATTATTCGTGACAGCACCTATATACTGATAAATGCCATAAAACAGAAGGCTATCAAGAATCAAGACTACCAAGAATTATAATACGAGGCTTGATTCAAACAATATGTTCATTTTGTAAGCCCTACTAAAGCACAAACACTCCACCTCCAATGTGTTCCTTTGTTTGGAGATGTTTGAGAACCATCTGAATGACATGGAGATGGAAGCTCCTTCTCCCAAGGCTGGATATTCTCTGAGATAGGTCATGATTGGAAACCAAGGGCAGTTGTTAGCATCGAGTGGCTATGCGGAGATGACCCCATACTTCTTGTTGAGAGTATTGAGGACAACATGCTTTCTGCTGTGTGAACTGTGTTTTGGGTGCTGGGCCTGCATAGAGGCCTCTTACATCCTTCAAAAGAGCAAATTGACGAGTTACATCTATTTAAAATTCAATATTCAAAACAGTTGAAAGAAATTACCATCTCAGGAATAGGGTGTAACCTGAAAACACTTATCTTAGGTGACAAGTGTCACGATAAAGAGGTGCATCTTCAGCATAAGGTGGAAACTTCATAACTTTATAATGAAAGTATCAGTAGCACCTCTTTGGGGAGGGAATTCCGCAACCTAGGAAATGCCACAGCGATTGCCTTAGTGTCTGAGGGTGGTAGAACTACCAAGAGTGGCCCCTCTCAACACCCCCCAAAATGTGTAGGGAATATATATATATATAATTAAAAAATGAGGTGCTGGTACTCATATAAAGGTACTGTGGGTGACAGCACAAAATGGGGGCCATGGACTGGGGGGGGGAGAGGTGTTTGTGCTCCATGCTGGTGAGTTCTGTTGCAAAAAAAACCCCTCTCTCTGTGTGTACAGACAGACACACACAGACACACACACACACACACAGAGAGAGAGAGAGAGAGAGGGAGAGGGAGAGAGAGAGAGAGAGAGATAGGATATGCTAAAGTCTCATTGGCAGATATTTTAAATGATTAAAAGTAAAGCAACCATGCATTGGATTCCTTTTTGGTGATATGATAGATAGATAGATAGATAGATAGATAGATAGATAGATGATGTAACAGTTTTATTGGGAAGCATGACTATTCCACAATTACATTGGAAATAGGGAGGAACAGGCCAAATGAAATTTTCCCAAATAATGATGAATATGGAAATAGACACGGTCAAAACAAAAATGATACTCATTATGTGACTGTATTCAATGTGCATGATTAAAAAAATAATAAGAAATAAATCACAGTCACAGGGGCTGAGGAATGAGGGACTGCTGAACTGGAGAGGTAAAGCTTAATTCTCTTCCCTGCCATGGTCCCAGTGAAATGCCTCCCATGCCCCAATAGTTTATCTCTTGAGACAAATAGTATCTTTTGTGTGGGTGTGATTGTTATCAGGGTCATGGCAAGGGGTTCCTCCCCACCGTCTGCAGCTCAACTCTCCCTGTGACTGCTATTTACTTCTTAAAAAGATTGCGCAGTTAACTCCATGGAATCAATGCTGCATCTGTTTTGACCCACAGTGACTTTGTCATTGTATATTGAGTGACTGCCACCTCTGCAAGTGGGCCAGTGTGGTGTAACAGTGTGCTGGACTAGGTTCTGGGAGTAAGGTAAAGGTAAAGGTACCCCTGCCCGTATGGGCCAGTCGTGTCTGACTCTAGGGTTGTGTGCCCATCTCACTTAAGAGGCCGGGGGCCAGCACTGTCCGGAGACACTTCCGGGTCACGTGGCCAGTGTGACGAAGCTGCTCTGGTGAGCCGGCACCAGAGCAGCACACGGAAACGCCGTTTACCTTCCCGCTATAAAGCGGTACCTATTTATCTACTTGCACTTAGGGGTGCTTTCGAACTGCTAGGTGGGCAGGAGCTGGGACCGAAAGGCGGGAGCTCACCCCGCCGCGGGGATTCGAACCGCCGACCATGCGATCGGCAAGCCCTAGGCGCTGAGGTTTTACCCACAGCGCCACCTGCGTCCCTAGGTTCTGGGAGACTGGGGCTCAAATTCCTACTCAGCCATGAGGCTTACGGGGTGACTTCAGGCCAGCCCCAGCCTCTCACCCAACCTACCTCACAGGGTTGTGACAAAGATATAAGTGGAGAGGAAGGGAACTGTGTATGCCACCTTGAGCTCCACGGAGGAAAGAAGAGAGATATGTGAAAATAAACAAATATTAGGGAAGCCAAATGATGGAAATGACTGAGGCTGGGTGTGTGTGTGTCAGTGTGGCTTATAATTCACATGGTTGTTCTCCTACACAAATCCCATGAAAACGAATCCAGTCACTCAGGAGAACTTCCCAGTAGATAGTAGCCCTGAAATGTGAACGCTAAAGAAAGGAAAGAGCCCGGCGTTTTCACTAGCTACAGTCTCACCATCAGTTCCCCTTCTGTTTGTTTGGGGAAAATCCTGGAGTTTAATCAGAATTATTTACAAGATAATGGCCCATTGTTTGTACTAAGACAGATGCCGTCTGTGGGAATTTGGTGTTTTATGCTTCCTGCATTGCGTTGCCATTGCCTCTGCAGATGGGATCACAGTGGTACTGGTGTAATCTCTTTTTAAAAGAAATTTAGAGGAGACTTTCAAAAGGGTTTGGGGTTGGGGGAATCGTAAACAGGGAAGCAGAGCATTTATATGTGTGTATCTGTTTGTGTGTGTTTTCATATCTAGAAATGCTTCAATTATGCAAGGATCGAGGTTTTAGGGCCTTGAGCAAGTGAGAAACATAAGGGGCCACAGTCTACCATAAATATATAAGAAAGAAAAGATACAAGGGATGGGGTCAGTGCATTTAATTTCCCAAAGAATGTGGCAACAAAATCTCGTATTTGAACCTTGATTTTGATATTTTAATCTTTTGATTATCCCCATACACTTTATTATACACACATTTGCAAATACTCAGACCTGGAAAATTTTAGGGTTGCCATTTGTAGAGAATTTCCTGGACATACCTGGAATACTGCTTTTCTGAAGCAGTGTCCAGGCGGAAAATCAGCAGTGCTGTTTTGGGTGTATTTACTTTAAAAAAGCTCAAAAATGATTTTGCTCAAAATGCTCCACAACTTTGGGCAAAACTAAGAAAAGCTCAACTACTTTTTTGTCCAGATTTTCACTTACTGAAATATGGCAACCCTACTGGAGATGCTTTTGAAAACTTTCACCACCACAAAACGACTCAGTGGTTTAAACCAGCTTTTTCTTTCAGATTTAAATCACCTTGATTTCTTATCTGATATCTTGATCTGATATCTTTTTCTGGCAGCAGTGGATCATAACAGAATGTTTTCTAATCCAACACTTCTACAGACTCTGATCTATAAAGAGGCATCATACTTTGGATGCATCATAGTCAAACAGCCTCAGATCCAGCAAAGATGGAGCAAAGGATGGCAAATTCTACAGCGGTGTCTGGCTATCCTCATTGTTAGCCTTCAACCTTTCTTTTGGAACTGCTACAAAAGGGGGGGGAGGATTAACTCCTTCCTATGCTCCTTCATGGTGGCATCCCCTTCCCTGCTGCTGTAACTGGTCCCAGTGAACGTAGGAAGCTGACTCCTAGGTCCACCTAGCTCAGTCCCGTCTACACAGATGGGCAGTAACCCTCCTGGCTTTCTTCCAACCCAACCTGGAGATGCCCGCACAAACCAAGATCTTTCTTATTGATCTGATATTCTGTATGTTACATATATTATATTCAGTGTTTATGGCACTTAAAAGAAGACAGTCCTTGCCCCGAGCAACTTACAATATAGAAATATAATACAGAGGTAGAAGAGGCAAAGTAGACTGGAAACCTTCTGCATGCAAAGCCAATGCTCTACCACTGAGCTATGGCAGTTCCAACAGTGCCACCGCTTGGGGGAGGGAGGCACAGTGGTGAGACCCCAATCCAGATCCTGCAAACATCTCCCAGGCATTGGTTTGACCTGCAGCCAGGACAGCAGTCCTTGGACATAGCTCCCTTTTGTGTGTTTTCTGGAACAACTGAAGCCCATTCAGTCTGATGGAGAAACTATACCAGTTGATTTCTCAAACCTTCAGCTGTGCCTACTTTCCTGACCTAAACATCTTGTCGCAGCAATTTACTTCAACTTTCCCCCCCTAATTAGATGAACTGAAGTGGTGGAATATTACAACTTGAAACATTTCTGATTTGCAGAACGCAGAGGTCTGTCTTTTCTCCCTCTGTTTTCCATGCACAAGTGTTTGCTCAGTGCCTGCTTATTTGCAATTTCTGTGTTGTTCATAGGACTGTGGCCTTTTCCCCTTTCATGCCAATGGTTTTATATTTGACTTAGCGGTGCAGGCTAAGGGAAGTTGTGGGTGCGTGGCGATGTCAAAGGCTGCCGCTTGAATGATAATTAATAACATTATGGGACTGATTATGTGTTTAGTAGTTCTGGAATCAGCATGAACTGAACTTGTTAAATTCAATTCCAGTGCCAACGATATCTGACCATTTTTAGTAGACAAAAGTAGGAAATGTGCAAGGCTTTTCTAGAAGGAAAAGAGGTGGAGGGAATCAATCTTGTGCTATTTGAAAGGGCAACGGCTAATGAGAATTGGTGGAATGTATAGCTTCTGAATTTTCAGAGAGGTTTGGTTGTCGTATCAGTCGCAGAGTTTCAGAAGAAAACATAGATTGGTTGTGCGATAATATTTATAGACCTTAGTCCTATTGTGTCAGCCTCTGCCTGAAACACTGAGTCATTTGAGATGGGAGATTATGCCTTTCCAGGTCCTGAAAAATCATTTCACATGTGACCAATTACTTCTGTCAGGGAAGGGAGAATAAAGTCCCACCTCTGTGGGTGGGATTCTTAACTCCCACATCCAGAGGTCAATAACAGGGTTCTTAGACCTTTGCGCTCGTCACTCCCTTACAGCCAGACCTTTTCTGTTAAAACTGTTTAAATTACAGGCCAACAATAAAAAAAAGATCATGTGTGTTTCCCATTGAACAGGTTCTTTAAGGCTATTATGATAATTAAAAACATATGGAGCCTGCACGAGTCAGAGGGGAAACCACAGATGTACAAATTAGGTATTATATAAGCTTTTGCTTTTTGTGCCCTTTTGAAAACATCAAGCCACCAAAGTTTAAAAGAGACAGGGCTGGTTCTCTCCGTCTCTCCCCCCTCCAAAAAAACCCCTTGCTTTTTGGGGTTTCGTAGGTAGTGTTCAGTTACCAGCATCATTAAATATGCATACCTCTTTTCTTATACATAATCAGAGCAAGCAAACTCTCATGCATGGAAACGGGTGAGGGGGCCGCATCTCAAACAGCACAGGGGTTGCAGTATTTATGGAGGGAGATGAAAACACTTTGTTTCCTACAAGTTTATTGGAGACCATGAAACCTTTTGCATTTTTTATGATGTTTCCCTACAAAGACACAGAGGATTCTATTTATTAAATATTGAATTATATTGAAATTGGAGTGATGCAGCCAAAGAAGAATATTTCTTGGTGTTCTATTTTTTTTTTTAATTCCCCCCTCCCACACAACCCAGTTTTAAAGTGCCATTGCATACTCATATTGATTACAGTGCAAATAGTCATTTGTTTTAATTTAAAAATGCAGAATTGATTTTGGGAAGGTGATAAATACGACTAATAAAAAAAAATTCAAAATGGGGATTTATAATGATTCTCTCTTAAGTCGATGGTTTAGCAAGGCTTAATGGAGAATAAAAGTAGATATATTCAGAAGTAGCCAGAGATAATGATTATTTGTCATTTGCTAACACTGCAGGAATCTGACTATCTGGACAATATTCTAGGGATTTTTTTAACGATCTTGGCAGTCATTTACCCACAGTGCTTTGCCACTCAGAAAATGTTCCAGTGAAACCAAAAGAATGTCTGAATGTTCAGGGTGAGTTGGGCAGGGTCCCCCCCCCCCGGAAATAAAAATGGACGGAGATGCCGTGACAAAATTGATAAAATTACTACTACAATCTGGAAGAGACACAGATCCTATGCACACATGCTTATCTCTCAGGGAAGATAACGTGTAGAAGTAGAGAAGAATTTGGGAGCTGAATAGTTTGTTGAAAGTCATACATCTGAATTTCAGCTAAGCATACTTTTTGGGGGGAAATTCACAAGCAACATGTACCAAAGTTGTTTGATCTTCCTATTTTCAGACACAGATTGATGCAATTGAAGATGAACTGAAATGCGGACAGCAGTGCATTCCAATTACACTGTACATATTTACAACAGCCAACAGAGTGATGCCGTTTGCTGTTGCTAACTATAGGGGAAATCAGATTAATTTGGACAACATAAAATTGCACTTTAAGTTCAGTTCAGAGTATGCTGCAACTCAGGGGCTGCTGCACACACCTGCTACTTTTTTAACAAATAGAGTCTTTGACTTCTTTTGCCTGTTGTAGAAAAAGTAGACAGAGGTCACATCTGCACCATACAATGAAATCACTATTGTAACACTTCAAATAGCCATGGCTTTCCCCAAAGAATCCTGGGAACTGTAGTTTGAAAGTTGTGCCAAGAGTTTCTGGGAGACCCCTATTCCCCACATGAAGCTACAAATTCCCAGAGTTTCATGGGAAGAGGGATTGAGGGCTTGATTGTTAAACCAGTTGGGAGATTGTAGCTCTTTGATTTATATCCAGTGCCATTATCAAACTGCAGCTCAGGAGAGTAGTTTTTCTTCCTCTCCCATAATACTTGAACCAGAGTTCGTGCCATTAAACAGACTGGTAGGAGATTCAGGACAAATGGAAGACTTTCTTCACATGACATATAATTGATTTATGGAATTGACTGTTGGAAGGTGTGTTGATGGCCTGGATGACTCTAGAGGTGAACTAGACAATTCATGGATGATAAAGTATACAAATGCTTTCTGAACAATATACCACTAAATACTAGCTACTGAGAAAGAATAACAGCAAAGTGTTGTTGACTTCATGCTCTGTGGTGGGCTTTCCTGAGGAATCTGGATAGCCACAGTGGGTAGGGATAGAAAGAAAAAAAGCTGTCAATTTCAGGCCTCCAAGTTTCTAAAATTCAATTCTTTACAATTCAGCAACCATCTATGACAGGCTTCCTCAAACTTGGCCCTCCGGATGTTTTTGGCCTACAACTCCCATGATCCCTAGCTAGCAGGACCAGTGGTCAGGGATAATGGGAACTGTAGTCTCAAAACATCTGGAGGGCCGAGTCTGAGGAAGCCTGATCTATGGCACCCCCCTAATAAACATATTTTTGTATGCAGTTTTGACCGCCATTTCCCCAAATATATTGCAATTTTGTATGTTATTTTCACTATAATATGCTTCTGAGGTACATTTTACCCTAACGTATGACACCCACACCCTGAACATCACTTGACTGGAGAACTGCATTGCAAAGTTCAAAGAAGAGTGGATTTCAAAGGATGGCTGTTTTTCGGACCAATTTCCCCCCCCAAAAAAAGTGTGATTTCAGTAAGTCCACCTATAACTGAATCAAATTCCTCTGCCCCCGCCCTCACAGCTGTGAGAATCAGAATACCAGACTAGCTGGACCTTTGACCTGATCCTTCAAGACTCTTCTTGCGTTCTTCTGCTCCTGAACCTTTTCGTTCCACCACCATATTCCTCCCATCTTTCAAAACTTTGAAAAGAGTTTCTTTGGAGGAGAGCCCAAGAGCTTCAAATCCAAAGGAACATTGGGAAATTTAGGTATGGTGATCAAAAAGCCCTTCAGGAGCCTCACATTTCTTTTATTCCATGAGTGATAGCACGCTTGCTGTGTTATTTCGCATGTAGGTATTACCATTTTAACTTTTACAGAGGTAAAATAACACCTTGTCACTCAGCGCAAGTACCAATCACAGAATGAATTAATTGTAATAACTGTTGTCAACCGAACAAAGGACTTGTTGCTTTCCTAAGCAGATTTAACTGCCACTGATAACTATATACAGAGGTTCCCATTGGGCTTATTCACTGTACAGAGTCAGAACATAATTTCATCTGTCTTTCTCTGTACTTTGTTGTTAAGTGCTCCGAATTGGATTAAAAACCCTATATTTTAAGAACATATTAATTAGACCCTTTTCCTTTGTTTATGAAATGTTTCCTTTAATAAGAATAAGAAATACCCTAAACATTTTAACCAGTTAATTATAACACTTTTAATTCATGATGGGAATTTGCTAAACAAAATAAGTTAATATAGGAACCTGGGGCAAAGGAGAGAAGAAATTATCGGCTGATAATTGCTCTTGTTGACTCATTAATTAAAATTATTTATTCATCACTTTATATCAGTACTTGAAGTGGGCTTGAATGAGATGCGATGTCATTCCAGCTCTTTTCGGACCAACCTAAAACCATCCCAGTTCTTCTCAGGGATGTTGGACAATTCCAACAGAAATGGGAGCAGAGGTTTCCAACATTTGCTTTTTTGCCCCATATCTGGAAGAGAACTCAATCTATCGAAAACAACCAGTATTTGCTGTTGTTATTGCTTTCAGTCTGCAGATGAAACACAGTTGATTCTGATGGTGCTGATCACCCGATGATCTGAAAGGGATAACTGGCCAATCTTTCAGCCTCTCATTTTCCTTGGTCCTGAACCAATCTTCTCATTGATCAGCACTTACAGTGAATAGCATAGGAGCAGGAAGGGTACAAATCTGCAGTTATATCCTACTCAGAGTAGACCTGTTGAAAGTAATGGACTTAATTACTTGTGCCTATTGATTTCACTGAGTAGAACTTAGAATGATACAATGTCTTATCAGTGCAGGACTTTATGCTTGCATAATGGAACGTACCCTCTATCCTCCCCCAGTATGCCTTACACCTTCCTCAGACCTGCTGCAGAGGGTTGGGGGAACCCCTAGAACAGATTGTAAGGGGAGTGGGGAGGTGGAGGAGTTCTCTTGTGCCAAGTGGAAATCCTTGCACTAAAGAGATTCATTAGTCAGATACCACACCTGGACTTTTCCTTCTTCCAACCATTGATCAGCACCATCAATTCTTTTAGGCTGCTGTCCTCCTGCTTTCCTGGATCAAGATGGTATTCTCCTGGAACAAACAGATAAGATATGCACATACATGCATATTAAATAGCTTCTGTTTTCATACAGAAATTCTCGCACATCAAATACAGTGGTACCTCAGGTTACATACGCTTCAGGTAACATACGCTTCAGGTTACAGACTCTGCTAACCCAGAAATAGTACCTCAGGTTAAGAACTTTGCTTCAGGATGAGAACAGAAATTGTGCTCCAGCAGCGCAGCAGCAGCGGGAGGCCCCATTAGCTAAAGTGGTGCTTCAGGTTAAGAACAGACGAATTAAGTACCTAACCCGAGGTACCACTCTATGAAGCTACTATCCTCTATGAAGAAAGTTTGCGGCATTTGGGACTTCTTAGTTTAGATAAATGATGAGTAAGAAGGGACATGATGGAAGTTTGTAAAATGATGGAGAAAGTGGGTTAGAGAAAAGTTTCTCATTCTTGTAACACCTTAACTCTTGAACACCCAATGAAGCTGAATGTTGGAAGGTTCAGGACAGATAAAAAAATGGACTTCTTCTTGCAGCACACATTTAATTGATGGAACTCACTCCCACAGGAGGCAGTGATGGACACCAACTTGGATGGCTGTAAAAGAGGATTAGACAATGTCATGGAGGAGTGGATTATAGAGGGCTACTAGCCACACTTCCACAGTGGACAGCAGTAACACATCTGAATACCAGTTGCTGGAAGCCACAGGAGGGGAGAGTTGCTCTTGTGCTCCAATCCTGCTTGCTGGTTTCCCACTGGCATCTGGTTGGCCACTGTGAGAACAGGATGCTGGACTAGATGGGCCATTGGTATGATCTAGCGGCCTCTTCTTATCTTCTCCCTTTTCAAAATCTTCTGAAAAGTCAGTGTGTGATAGATGAAATATTAAGAATGGTAAATGGCTTCTCTGTAAAACTACATTTCTCCCAAATGTACGAAGATATGCACCAAAAGCGACTCACAAAAAGGCAAAAATAGCTAAATACCTTACAACCTTTATTTTTTTTTTTACTCTCATGCATAAAGCAAGTTAAATTTGAGGTGCGTGCACTAATTAACTAATTTTAGAAAAATGCTTCAGGATGGCAGGAGCTCGTGCCAATATGCTACACAAATTTTACATGGCTATTTACTTTAATAATCACAGAGCAGTGCAGCATCTTCTCTGTATTTTATTTCTGGTTCTCTGTTTTATCTTAAAGGAGCATGCATCAGAAATATGGAGGGGTAGATTCCTAATGGGCGGAACGGGATATGGATATCTTGAGTACAAAATCCACATGTTTTAAGCCTTAGCAAAATATGGAGACACAGCAATTGGGAGACAATCGAAACCCTCCTCCTTTAGCATTGTGATTGGAAGGAGGAGGTGGGCACTAGCTGTTTGGGTGAAATTTGGCCATAAAATAATTTTGTTGACAGTCAGTTCCTAAGCAACTCAGGTGGGGAAGAAGGAGAATAACAGGAGGTAACCCACCAGGGGAGCCAGTCTGGCTGTCCATGCTGCCATTTTGGTGCCCTTGCATTCCTAAGCTTGGAAGTAAACACCGAACATGATCTGCCATTAGACAACTGGCCA